GCCCCCCTGAGATCATGTCTCCAGCACCTACTTCTTTTGTATTCGTACCTATAAACTTTTGTTGTTGTTGCTACTTCTCTCCCTGTCTTTTCTTGAGGCTTAAACAACATCACGGACTCTGGATGCTATTTTTCAGCTCAGGCACTGAAATTTCTGAACTGCAAAGCATTTTTAAGTAAGTGGGGTAGAAGGTAATTTGTTTAAAAGAAACAGATTAACGTATATTTAAGGTAGGATATATGGCACAGAAAAGGAATCATCGAATAAGCTTTCATTAAATCTCTTTTAGAACGAGATATTTATATTTCAATTAATTTCACTATTACATATCCCAGTTTCAAAAGGACATTTCTTTTTTTATTATTATTGCACTTAAGAAAAAAGAAAAAAGCCAACAAACTAAAAAACAGAAATGCCCAACATTTCAGCATATCTCCCCAAATTTTGCTTCCTACATGCGCTGACGTCCTTTTATTCTGATCAATGCAATCCTTAGGACACAGATCTCGTTTTCTCTCCTCAGTTCTGGCCGCCAAAGCACCAGCAGCAGCAGCAGGCTTTTTAATTTATTGCAGCCGGTTACACTTTCGATCCCATTTCCTTCTCAACCCCTTCCTCTCAGGTTGAGAAGATAAATGTAGCCTCGGGTCCGAGAAGCCAGGCGGAGTTTGTGGGTGGGAGTGGGGCCGGATATCGTATTCCCTTGGTGAGCTCTGGTACCCGAGGGGATTAAGTCCCCGGGTTCCATTTAATGAAATTGCTGAGCACTTGTGACACTAGCTCTAAGACTGCGGAAATGGGGCGGGGGTGGGGGAAATGGCTTCTAGACTCCATTCATCCTTCGGGCGCGCGGGAGGCTGGAGGGAAAGTGTCCACCCCCAGGCAGGGGGCGGAAGAGGACTGGGAGGTCGGGGCGCAACAAGGCGCCTCGAAGGCTCCCATCACCCCATCAGCACCCTACCCTTCCCATTCCAGGTTCCCAAAAATCGCGCTGCCGGGCAAAGCCGCCACCGCCCCTTGGGTGCTTTGGCGGAAAGGTCGGTGCTGGGGACCCAGGCGGAAGGGAAGCAAGCCAGGAGGCTCCAAGGCCCGGGCTGACTGGCGGGGCTACGCGTGGTTTCCATGCCGCACACGTCGGACCCATTTCCCACGCTGCCTTGGCTCAGTGGCAGAGTTGGTAGGGATGAGAGTGGGGAGGGCGGGCTGGAGACTACCTCCCGCTGGCAAAGAGGAAACCACTCCACTGTGAAGGACGCGGCGCACCCCCTAGTCCGCCGGGAAGAAATTGGCAGCGCGCGCCGGGGAGTGCCGCCCACTCCTTCCCCCTCCTCAAATGTGCGCCTGGTGAGCGCGCGCCAGAGCGGCGGGCAAACGCCTGAAGACGCACAGGGGCTTGTTTAAGTTTATGGTCTGGAGAGGAAAGAGAGAATGCGCACTGTCTGACCCCGAGGCCGCTTGAAGTTTGCAAAATGTAGTAAAGGCAGAGGAGTGAGTGCGCTGCACCATATTGCCGCGCATGGGAATGCCCCAGCGCAAGGCCCCGGAGTGGGGCCGACTTTCCTCCATCACCTCGGACTGGGGTGAAAAGGGGGTGGAGGTGGGTGGGCATCCTAATAAACTCGGGTTCTGGCCAATATTAGGGGCGTTTGGAGTGTTTACCACTTAGCAGCCAGGAAGCCTCTGCGGCGCACGCCGCCGCCCCCCGACTTGAGACTGCGGCGGAGCGTACTGAGCCTGCGCGCGGGGCTTTTCTCGCTGATGCTGCAGATATAGAGCAAAGCGGCTCCGGTGGCGGGGGAGGGGCTGAGGGAAGGCCCCATTCCGGCCCTGGCCCCAGAGGAGAAGCCGTCACCCCGGGTCCTGCTGCTTTCGGCTGGTGGAAAATACTCTCCTGCTTCCTGGCAGCTACCACACACACAATCACTGCCATCCTCTGCGCCTCTGCCATTTCTCTTAGAGCAGGGAAATCTCTGCTGCCTCTCCCCCACCATTCCTGCACGCTGCGCCCGCCCAAACAACCGCGCGCTACATCTGCTCCGAGACTTTATTGGTGTTTGTCTTGTTTAAATCATTCTGCCTTCCCACACTGGTCTCGTAATGGGAGAATGCCCAACCTGGATGGATTTTTTTTCTTCTTGTTTTGTCTTTAAAATATCCTTCTGATTCCTATAGATTGAACAGACGAATTGAGGCCACCTAAATCCCAGTAGCAGCCCATTTTCTTTTCTGAGGTGCTGAGAATTCGCCCAATAGCTTCATGTCTGCCTTCACACTCTTAATCCTGGCGGAGTCCCCTCGTTTAACAGCCGCTGAAGTGAATTGGAAGTGAAAGGCTACAGTGCAAAAACCGCAGCCAGACCTGAGATCTAATGAAGCAGGCTGCGGGGTGGGCGTGATTGAAAACTGGGGAAGCCGCACGTGGGGGAATACCACTGGCGATAAGTGATACAAAGTCAAAAGGAGAGGAAAGAATCTAGTGACACTTGGTAGACAAAGTTGCCATTAAAGTTTATTTCCTTTTTATCCAGATAGGTGACGCTACACTTTGCCAGTTACTAAAGGCTGCAGATTTCTTCTGATCTGAAAAAAATATCGAAGCTTCCAACTTGTGTTTATTCCCCAGGCGCGCGCACACACGGTCGACCCTCGTAAGCTACCACGTTGACAAGAATGCCAAGCATTTAAACAAAGACAGGCAATACCCTGACCACCCCCCTCCGAACCCTAAGCTCCAAAAAAGGATCCCTCCCTCTCCAGCTCTCTCTGGAGTTTCTGTGTTCTTAACCACTGTATCCCATCATGGATTATCAGAATACTAGGGTGGGTTTCCAGGCGCACGAGGGATTCTCAAACCACAGGTACCCAAGTCGTGAAGATGCTCAATCGCGAACCCGAGACACTTTCGAGGTGGGGGGGGTTGGTCATAGGCTGGGAGATACGTGGAGAAAGGTTTCCTGACACCGGTCTAGCACGCTCCTACGCGCACTGCACATTAGTCTAAGCCAGGAGGAAATTTACTAGCCCGAGGGAGGGAAAGAGAGCAGCCCCAAGATGAAAGCTGCTTCACTTGCCTGGGGGAACAGGCTTTGGCTTCGCTGGGGCTAGTTGGGGCTGAGCACACTCTGGGCGGTCCGGCAGCTGAAGCTAGGCTTTCCGGAGCTCGGAGGCTGCCTGGTGCTCCTTCACGCCTCCCTCCCCCTACACCTCCACCCTCCCTTATCAGCGAGTGTGTAGTTTCGGCAGCCCGGCTGCCGCCGCCACGTCAGGGACGAGCCCGAGCCTCAAGCGAGCTCCCACCAGCAACCACCACTTTGGGCAAACTTGCTGGCTTCCGGCTCCCGACGAGCGAGCGGTAGCTTCCCAGTTGCTGTTCTGCGTCTCCGAGCCCCACCAGCCTAGGGCTCGGTGAGAGCGCCAGAACCAGAAAGACTCTGAGAGACACTAAAAGGGACGAGACAACTGCGGAATTCACTCGCCGTGCCAGGGCACTTCCGAGGAACAACCGACTGGCACTTTTTCTCCCTTTGGCAAACTGGATTTTTTTTTTTTTTTTTTTAAGCTACTTGGCAGCTGTCTCTAACTCCATCCCCCACCCCCCAAATGCCTTTTGCTTTTCTTGAGAAATGTGGAAAGAATTGAGCATCTTTGTTAATTGCCTTTAGGAGAACCCGGGCGGACGTTTTCGCGGGGCTAACGTCTCCAGTGCACCAAGCCTGGTTTGCTCACCTTTGAACTGCAAAGGGATCAAGCTCAGCTCGAGTTCCCAGCATTGAGACTGAAAGGAAGGAGAGGGGAGCGTGCAGGAGAGCGAGTGGGAGAAGGGGAAAGGGGAAAGGAAAGGAGGGAGGAGAGAGGGGGAGGGAGAGGGAGGGAGGAGGGAGGGAGGGGAGGGATCCAGAGAGAGAGAGTGGGGAGAGAGAGAAAGGCTGCAATCTCCTCCCTGAATCGCGCACAGCGCTGCAGATCCCACTGCTCCGACATGCGGGCCGAATGCAGGTGAGAAAAGGCACAGACTCTGCGGCTGAGAACCCAAACTTGGGCACCTCGCGGTGCGCACGGCTCAGCCTTTGCCTCTGCGGGCGATCGGCTGCTGCGGTTTCAGGCGGAGGCTTCGTGACTAATGACCTTGCGCAGAGTTGTTAAGAAAAAAAGAGAAACCGGAGCTCTCGGGGGGGGGGGGGTGAGAAAGGTCTGACTCTCTGGGCTTCTCTGAAGATGGCTCGGACCGCTCTTCGGCGCGCGGGAGAGACCCGGCCGAGAACCGCGCTGTGACGAGAGTGGTCTCCTCTGCACGGTGCCCGGAGCGACCTGCCGGAGATTTTTCATTCTCGATCTGTTGGCTGGCTAACCCGCTGCCTAAGCAGAGTAAGGAGTTGAGACTGGCTTGTTGCTGGCCCCGGCGCCTCGTGCTGGAAACGACTCACGTTTGCCTGGGCAGCCGGAGCCGGAGTCGGAGCCGAGACTGGGGTTGGAGTGAGTGGCTGGAACGTGCATTGGACTCAACTCCAGTAGCAGCAAAGACGAACGGGGCTGGCTGGCGGGGAGGCTGCAGACTAGCTCCTCGCCGCCTCGCGACTCCACCGCCCGTCTGCCAGAGCGCTTCCAGTCCCTACCAACCGAGCGGGGAACGGAGCCCGGGATCTTTCGCCCTCTGCGGGGATGACTCTGGGGGGTCGCCGAGCCCGCGGCGCGCAGTGTCCCGTGAACTGTGAGTACTGCGACTGAACGGCGGCCGGCGAGCGAGCGATTAGCACCCGTTGCATGAATTATGAAACAATAACTTTCGGAAGAATCAGGAGGAAAAAGAGAAAGGATCTATAGCTGCTTACCCGAGCGGACTAGCACTCAGCTCTTGCCCCCTCCCTCCCCTCTCTCGCGCGCCTTCCTTTCCCGGAGAGGGGAGAGGACTGGGGGGGGGAGGGCAGGAGGCCAGCCCCTGAGGAGGGGGACGCCAAGGGGGCTGCGGTTAGAAGGAGCAGTAGCAGCAGCAGCAGGAGAAGATGCTGAGGATGCGGACGGCGGGCTGGGCGCGCGGCTGGTGCCTGGGCTGCTGCCTTCTCCTGCCGCTCTCGCTCAGCTTGTCCGCCGCCAAGCAACTCCTCCGGTACCGGCTGGCCGAAGAGGGCCCCGCTGACGTCCGCATCGGCAACGTTGCCTCCGACCTGGGCATCGTGACGGGCTCGGGCGAGGTGACTTTCAGCCTCGAGTCGGGCTCCGAGTACCTGAAGATCGACAACCTCACGGGCGAGCTGAGTACCAGCGAGCGGCGCATTGACCGCGAGAAGCTGCCCCAGTGTCAGATGATCTTCGACGAGAACGAGTGCTTCCTGGACTTCGAGGTGTCGGTGATCGGGCCCTCGCAGAGCTGGGTGGACCTGTTCGAAGGCCGGGTCATCGTGCTGGACATCAACGACAACACGCCCACCTTCCCGTCGCCGGTGCTCACGCTCACGGTGGAGGAGAACCGACCGGTGGGCACGCTCTACCTGCTGCCCACCGCCACCGACCGGGACTTCGGCCGCAACGGCATCGAG